GTACGCGTATCTCACAGTCCAAACGTTTGCCAGCAATACATTGGTTACTTAAAGTTAACGAGTAGCGACTTTCGGAGGTCAAGTACGGGGGAGTGAACAACCGATATCAGAGAGTGGGGGTGACAAGCGGTCTCTGCCTTAAGTTGGCTTCGGCCACGAAACAGAGAGCACCCGTATTACCGTCTCCCGATAACATGACGTGGTAATTGCTAACCATATATCCACTGCCTCGGATGTTGTTCGTAACCGTTGGCTTAGGCCTTTGGATAAGTTGACTGGTATCTATTAAACAACCCGAGAGTCTTCTTTGTGGTCGAATGGGTGCCTAGTGTCCACTAGATGTGGGAGAACAGAACCCGGGATCTATCTAGTTTTACCTTTACCAAGTTAGCCAGGTATGTGTTAACATCCCCTTTATTCCAGTCACCTCATCATATGGCTCATATTTCATGCTATGTTTCTGTTAAAATGGTGTTTCGTTTGGAAAGAAATACTCATATTTGTATATAATGGACCTTCTTCCATAATTATTCCGCTAGCCGCAGGAGCCTATTTGATTAACAGATTCATTCTCCTTAACTAGGTACTATGCATGAGTATAGGATGAACCGAAATAGCGGAAAATAGAATCAAAAGACGTGCATGCGTTTTCCGGCATAAGTCCTTGCCTAGTTTAACGTGTTTGAGCGAGGGACTGCAAACGGCACCCAGAACGATTCGTCTCTCCTGCAGACTAACGTTTAACGAATTATGCTGGCCTTTCAAAATGTTCTCAAAGTAGAAAGGTTTTCAACAGTAAGTATCTTGTTGCTTCTTTATAGTCCCTAATTCTACACGGAAGAAAATTAGCAAGAGCTTTTTTATTAGTCATTTGCATAGATGCAGGCTGCAAATAAGTGTTTTGGCTGTGAAATTGTTTTTTTAGGTTTTTGGAGGTTTTTCATGTTTTGATCTTCTAATATGTGTCAGCTAAACTCTCCTTTTCCTTCGTTTATTTGCAATGGAGCAAACTTTCAAATGTCACAATGTCCAGGCCCACATGTGTACATAAATATGGGCTTTCAGCCAATAATTACTCAAATATACATTTTTTCTATCACGAAGTTGCGATTTTACTTTGAAAGAAAAAAAATTTTAAGCTTTAAATTGCAATAAACAAGCTTTATTTCGCTCAACTTGCTCAAACTCTTATAATTGTATGCAAACGTTAATCTATTTACACCAAACCCAATCTTAAAAAACCCCAGTGTTTTCGTAACTTGGATTTGTTCCCCGCACTCGAAGTTACAAACCCTCACAAAGCTGCTGAATTTTTTCATCAAGGATTTCAGTTAACTTGTTTAACTAAACTGAAGTGATCTCCTTTAGCCGTCAGTAAACTTCAACAACGAGCTTAATCGACAGGACAACTAGCTCGTGGGTCAATAGTTAGAGCGTTAGACTCTGATTGAAAAGGTCCCGTTTCGGGTGGCACACCACTTGAGATGAGTATGACTGGTTGAGGACGGATTATCAGCCAGAAATGGGCACTATAGTCGCTTTTGTCTTTGCCGGCAGTTCTATGTGCATTAAACTTCTAGCAACAATGGTTGCTGCCAGCACCCGAGGAATGAGGGACAAGGTCAACGGGATGATTGAATTCCGTTGGCGGTCGGGGAACCTTCAACGAATGTCAACAGACACTAATTTGGCCAGTAGGTTGAATTAAGTCCATGGTTTGCGTAAACAGGCTGACGTCTATGAGAATGAACTTGAGACCGTGCGTTCTTATACTTACCGGGCGGTACAGATTACATATTTTCGTGTAGTGTACTTCGGCAGTGCCCCGAGGTTTCACGAGCCAGCTGTAACTGTATCTGTGTTATCAGGACGTGCACGTTTTTTTTCGTCTGAAAAGCTGTGTACATAATTACGTCAAAACTCCCTCGATTTTAGTCAACAGATAATGCAAATTAATATGCAGATACTAATATCTGTGTTATATTTTTTAGGAGTACACTTTCTAGCGAACTTTACGCTGAATGCCAAAAATGGGACAGCAATTCTGACATACCTTCCCCGAAAGCGACTCTTTGCAATTGTAAGTTGGATTGATTAACATACCTAACTCCCGACTTGAATAAACTATGCTCGCTTCCTAAGCAAAATGTTGCAGAGTTGTTCTGCTTTAACGTTTGAGCAAACGAAATGTGGATACACAAAACTTGCTCAAAGGACATTTGAGTGGCTCTCTAGGAGCTGATTGTGTGGTCTTAACTTGTATACTGCCTGTCATTTAGGTAGAAGTCATCCTTCGGCTAACAGAATGCTCTTCCAAAATTAGCGTTCAAGATCAGCCTTCCGCATTAACCTGCCCGTATGTTAGACTGGCATAAAACAAAGTAATAATATTTTACATATACAGTAGACGCCGTTGATCATGCAATATTTCGACATATGCAAAA